AATAATAACACCAACAACAACCACCACACAAACCACCACTGATTAGCCCAAACCACCACCAACAGATCTGCCAACACACAGATCCTCCACCAATAACAGATCCTCCAACAACAGCCACACACAGAGATTCGCCCCACACCCAGGGCAAGGAGGATCCCCTGCCGATCCAACAACAAATTCGAGGACACAAAGGAGTCAGTTTAACAATCAAGGTCAGAACTCAACTTCAACAGCAGATCCCTCGCCAATCCAACAAAAAATTCGAGGACACAAAGGAGACAGTTTAACAATCAATGTCTGCAACAAACCCACATGAATCTCATAGCAACGTCGACGCTGCTACGCTGCTGTTATTCACAGCAGTGTCAAACGCTGCTATAAATCGCACAGCAGCGTCGAATCGCACAGAAGCGTTCAACGCTGTTGTGAATCCCAACAGCGTCGACACTGCTGTGAACCGACAAGGAGGGAGAGAGAAATAGAGGAGGAGAAGGTAGGGAAGGAGAGAAAGAGGGAGAGAAACGATGTGAGGGGTAGAGGATGAATTGATAAATTAGGGTTTTAAATGATTAATTATTTAATTAAAATGATTAAAAAAAACCTTTTTTTTAAATATAAAAAACCTGAAAAATGAAAAAAAAAACATGAAAACCTAATTTTTTAAAAGGTGAAAGGAAAAGCCCTTTTTCATGTAATTACCACGTGTCAATGTCTCCAATGACCCAATCTCCACGATGACCTTTTTGTCCTTTTTTCGAAAGTTAGATTTTTAATTTATTGGTCTGAATTTTGATTAACTAATTAATATATATAAATAAAAATTAAGTTTGGTTCTTGATTCTGGTTCTCAATTCTGGAACCAAAACCAGAACCAGAACCAAAACCAAAACCTTTCATCATGTGCATAGTACATAACCAATTAATGAAAAGTTGGAGATATAGGTACCAAGAAAAATACATGAGGGGACAAAGAAAGAATACACAAACATTGGGAGGCAACATCTGCAATTTTCCCTGAAGAGTGCGTAAATACCAGGAGTATTATATGCCACGAGCTACCACTAAATTGTGCCAAATCCCCCACTTGACTAGTACAAAAAGAAAAAAAACTATAAAAAAACTCGTACCTTCGAACAGAAGACAATTGATGATGTCAAAATACTTAATTTGAAAACTTCCGATGAGAAAAGAAACAGGAAAAGAAAAATAAAGAGCTGTAAACATCTCAATTTCCCCGACAACTACAAACTTCGTGTTCATTCTTGAGATTCACATTCAGAGCATTCTGAAATTACTTCATCATTGGCTCCGAAGTCACCGCAAAATACTTCTAGCGTTTGGTTTTGTCACTGCTTCGATAAACCTGTACATCCATCTATCTAGCATTCCTGAGAATGAAAGTAGATATATTGAGTAATGTTCAAAAATTGAAAATCATACAATTCTTCTAGATTCAAAGAACTATACTGAACCCAAAAGAGCAGAAATACAAAGTTCTTGAATGCATTTCCAGATGAGTATTCCACAAGGGTTAATATGTTGAGGCATTCTACTGATGTAATAGCCACTTCAATTTCATGGACGATGAACTAGCCCCAAGGCTGTGTCTCGATCTCCTATGTGTGAAATCTAAGAGACTAGTTCCTCCTACGTCGTTCCATTCATTTTGGACTAGGAATATGCGTAATCAGACCTGCTCTCTGTTCCTGTGCACGCAGGGGTGCAGAATGTGCAAAGATGTATACACAAATTTATATATAGTCAATACGTGCTCAAATAACTAGTTTAAATATACATGCATGTGTGGTGTGTGGACTTTGGCACTTTGAACGTATAAACACACGTGAAGGTTGTTAGAATCAGGATCCTATCTAAGGCCATGTTGAACAGCTTATTCTACAAATGCACAAGACAGAGAGAGTGAAACAGAAATGCTGTATGCACGTAACGAATACTTCAATTGTAGAACCATCATAACGGAAGAAGAAAGACTATTTTTGAGATCTGAGTGATGACTTCAATAAGATTTCTCATTTCTTGCAAGGGAAGA